AAAAGACTAGAACATCTCCTCACCAGCAATCATCACCCAGATAAGCAGAGATTAACACCAAAATTATTACCAGACATACAATCAAGCAGTAAACAATACCCTAATCAAGGAACTATCAGAGAAAAAACAACACACACACACACACACACACACTGGCAGGGCAAGCTACTGTATATAAACAGAGACCAAACCCCATTCCATTCTAGCACTGAAGATGTTACCTAGCCGGGTAATGAAACATTTGCAAGAAAACAGCCAAGCTCAGAGAACCCCAAGGACTCCACAACTTCTAATATAATCAAAATTCTTACTTTTTCTGATATTCACATGTACCTTCATGCACATATACACACATAGTTTTTGGGGCTTAATGCTTATAATGTCCATGTTATGAATAGCATACATGAAACACTTTACAATAACTGGATTGAGGGACCAAAGGGGTGGCAAAGGACATGATTTTATTTATTTTATTTAATAGAAAGTTTAGGCCACCCAACAATTCTGGTCAGCTTACAATCAAAAAGAGAAAAAAACACACACACACAAAACAAAACAAAAATCAGTGGTCCAAACACAAACATAAAAACCATCCACCAGGTGCTCAACCATCACCCTGCTCCAAAGCCAGGGGGAATAGTCGAGTCTTTAATAACCTCCTGATCATCATCAGAGTGGAAGCCATGTGGATCTCTGGGAGGATAACATTCCAGAGAGTAGGCACTGTGACAGCAAAGGCAACTTCCTGGGTCCTGCTAGATGACACTGCTTAATCAATGGGACCCAAAGCACACCCACTCTACCCAATCTCACTACACAGATAAGAACAACTCAAGACAGGCAATCCTTCAAATAATCAGGCCCTATGCTATGAAGGGAAGGTTGGAGACCAGACAAAAATTGTTCAGGATCATTGGGTCCACTGATGGCTTCTTGAGAACAGAGGGATCCATTGTCTCCTTCAAGGCCAAAGGGATGACCCTCTCCCTCAAAGAAGCAGATATTACTGCATGGATCCAACCATAGGTCACCTCCCGGGCAGGCTTGACCAACCAGGAGGAAACTAGATATAAACAAAAGGTCACAGTCCAGAAGATCCTGTCCACTTCCTCAGCAGTCACAGGTGCAGACTCACTCAAGATAGCTAAGTCTGAAGCAAGCTAAGACTCTGCTTCAGACACCACCACTGGTCAGTTGGAGTCCAACTCTGAATGAATCTGAGCAACTTTATCTGCCAGGTAGCAAGAATAATCCTCACAATGGCCCAGTAGATGTTCCTGTGGCCTGTTCCTCCCCAGTAGGGAATGAATTACTTTAAACAGGGCTACCAGGTGGCTATCAGCAGATGCAGTAAGGGCAGAGAAATAACAATGTTTTGTCACCTTTATCACCACAATGTGACCTCAAATATGGGTTCTTACTTGTGTTCAGTCAGACTTGCTCCTTGTCTTCCTCCAACGGTGCAGTAGTGTGATGGAATGGTGTTATGAAGGCCACGCTGAGGGAGATAAGTGTTTCCTCAGCCCTCAACAGGAGCGTGGGAAGTTTAAGCAGATGAGACTGGCACCACCCTAAGGAATTCAGGGTATTGTGGGTTGCTTGGTTGGGGGGTTTTGGTCAGTTTGGGGAGAGTTTTTTGTTT